ACTCCTCTTCTTCTTGCGCCTCCTCTTGCTCTTCTTGCCCAGGGCTGCAGAGCACTCGGAGCGCACGGAGGCACTGTGGATGCTGGCACTGTCGAAGTCTGACTCCTCCCTCTCGTCTTCTTCACTCTGCAGGGGAGGACAGGGTCCTGTGATCCCAGGGCCTCATCAGGCTTCACTGGCCTCGGCAGTGTGGGGTGGGACAAAGCACAGAAGAGGCTCCGGAGACACAGTGCTCCCTGTGATTCACCTCAGCCCCCCACACAGCTGAAAACCTGACATTACAGCACTTATCCAGCCTGATGTCCTACCACCCTCCCAGAGTCCTGCTCTCCAGCATCAGACACTCCCCACAATTTCCACCTCCAAACAGTTGCCCAAGCCCTGCCCTCTGTCCTGCCAAACTGCTAAACATCCTTCAAGAGGCAACCCTAGGGACACCTCCTCCAAGGAGTCTTCCCAGATCTCTACTTTACTGGACCTATTGCGGCTGCCTATGTGCCAGGTCTGGCCTGTCCCGTCTGACTAGTACATCACAGGCTCTCCACCAGCGAACATGCCTGCCAGGTGACAAGTGCCACAGGACCAGGGCCCACCACGGCTGAGCAGAGGGCCTGGCACACAGTAGGCGCTCAACAAATACCTGCTAAACTGAATTGGACCGTCAGCTCCAGGACAGGCCAATCCTTCTCTCCAGGCTCCCCTCCAGACCTGACACTGGCTTCTGCCAAGGACCAGGGAAAGAGCTTCCAACTCCACCCAACTGCAGGGCTGGGGTGAGCAAGGGGGGCAACTACCCGTGGGGGTGAGGAGGGCGAATGCCCCCCACACTCACAGAGAAAGGGGGGCCCCAAGGCTGAGTGAGACCTGGGCTTAGCATCTGAGCCTGGGCCCGGAGCTGGCCCTGAGGACAAGGGTAGATAACTGGGACTCCGGCCAGCCTGATCCTGCCCACATGCCACTTCTCTAGGCTCCAGCCCTCCTGCAGCTCCTCCCCATGACAGGAGACGACAGCGGCCACCATTACAGATTCCTCCACCTGCTGCCCAAATGCAGCTGCGCTGTGGACAACAGGAGCCAGTACTGAGCTCCCAGCTCAGAAGGGTGAGCCAGGGGAGCACTCCTGCCCAGAGTCCAAGCTAAAAGGGCCCTTGGAAGGATTCAGTCTAAACCTCTCACCACACAAATGGAGAAACTGAGCCCCAGCACGCCTGCATGTAGGACAGAAGGAGAGTGGAGGAGGGTAGGACCTGCCTCAGCTAGTTCATAAGGATCTGAAGGCCCCCCTTGGCCCCTGTGTGCTCATGTGCAGACACATATGCATGCAAATGCACACACAAGCACACACACTCACACATGCACACACGCACATGCACACGAGCACACACACACATGCAAACGAGCACACGTGCACACACGCACACTAGCACACATGCACACATGTGTGCACACACAAGCGCACACATGCACACATGCAATATGGGCACACACGCACATCCACATGTACACACACAAGCACACACGTGTGCACATGCAACACGAGCACACACACACACACATGTACACACAAGTACACGTGCACACATGCAACACGAGCACACGCATACACACATGTACACACAAGCACACAAGTGCACACGCAACACAAGCACACACGCACATACACATGTACACACACAAGCACACACGTGCGCATATGCAACACGAGCACACACTCACATGTACACAAGCACACACATGCACACATGCAACACGAGCACACACTCACATGTACACAAGCACACACATGCACACATGCAACACGAGCACACACGCACACATGTACAAACAAGCACACATGCGCACATGCAACACAAGCACACACACATGTACACACAAGCACACACATGCGTACATGCAACACGAGCACACACGTACACACAAGCACACACATGTGCACATGCAACACGAGCACACACGCACACACACATGTACACACACACAAGCACACACATGCGCACATGCAACACGAGCACACATGCACACACTCACCGAGGAGCCTTTCTTCCTCTTGTTGCTGATCCCTCCAAAGCGGAACTTGAGCCCGGCCATCTTTTTCCCTTTGCCTTTTTTCTTCCCATCTTTGGAACCTTTGATCTTCTTCCTCACTCCAGGCCCTGAAAAACAGCAGTGACCATAGCCAACCACTGCCACCACCGAGGGCCACTTCCTGCCATCATCTCACTGAGCTCTCAGTTACCCAATAAGGAAAGGGTCATTTCTACCATCACCCCTTTTCAGATGAGATGCCTGAGTCTTGGAGAGGTGAACCCCTCGCTTAAAATCACACAGCAAGTGAGGCCAAAACCAGACAACAGCTCTGACCGGAGGCGGCTCTGACCGCCATACTGCCCCTCGTCCATGACCCACAGAAATGTGGCCTCTTGGGACAAGCCCCTGTACTGTCCCCACCCACCGAAAGGAGGCACTAGCCGGCCCCCACAGCCAGCAGAGCCGCTGAAGGCACAGCTGCCCACTTGTGATCCATGCCTGAGACCTCCTGGAGCCAAAAGCCCTTTTTCCACCAGCCCGACAGACAATGCTGGTCCCACCCAAGACCGCGCCACCTCTGCCAGTTAACCCCAGCAAGGGCCAGCAGGGTGAAGGATGCTTTTATGGAGCTGGCCACAGGGCAATAGCTACCTGGAGTAATGACCCAGGAAGGAAGCGGGACCTGGAGGCAGGGATACATGTGCCACAGAGGCGGCCTCTCCCCAGGCCCTCTTCTGGCCACACCACACACAGGGACATGGAGCAAGAAGCCCAGCTGTACCCTCTGTGGCGCCTCGGAAAATCTATTTCAATTTTCCAGGCTCTGAATAAGCAGCTCAAGGAATCGATAGCTCAGCAGCTGGAGCCCGAGAGGAAACAAGAAAACAAGGCAGGCTGGGCAGACGGGGACGGGCAGGGAGCCCCTTTCGAGATCCCGGTGACCTGGACGGATGGAGCAGGACAGGGAACAGGCTCTGACCCTTGTCATTTTGCCCACCAGGCTCCCTTCAGAGACTTGGCAGGATGGTACCAGACACAACCCCCAGAAACCAAAGCTCTCTGGGGCTGAAAGAAGGGATCCCCAAAGCCCCCTCAGCCCCTTCCATCCAAACCCAAATTAGCCAGATGCAGTGGCTCACGCCTGCAATCTCAGCATTCTGGAAGGCCAAGGTAGGTGGATCACCTGACATCAGGAGTTCAAGACCAGCCTGGCCAACATGGCGAAACCCCATCTCCACTAAAAATATAAAAAATTAGCCAGGTGTGGTGGTGTATGCATGTAATCCCAGCTACTCAGGAGGCTGAGGCAGGAGAATTGCTTGAACCCAGGAGATGGAGGTCGCAGTGAGCAGAGATCATGCCACTGCACTGCAGCCTGGACAACAGAGCAAAAGT